CAGATGCAGAAACAGACTTTCATGTTCAATATGAGGGTGCTGGGGGGATTGGAGGCTGCTAAGAGAGCTTGAGTGGGTCTTACTGGGGATGGAGCTGATTTAGAAACAGCCAGGAAGACATGTTTCTAGATAGATGAAGTGGTAAGTGGTTAAGCAGGGTCAGAGAGGTGGAACTGTGCTGAGGAAAGTGCTCTCTAACACCATTTGAGAAAAAACAGGTTAACGAGTATTTCTGCACTGCACAGAAGTGTTCTGGTGAGTTAATCTGAAAAGGTGAGTAGGTGGCAGGAGGAACAACACTTTATTTCCCTTACAAAATGTGCGTGTCAGCTGAATGTCCTGCTCTGGGGCAGGTGTTATGAATTTACACTTGCAGTAGTGTCTGCAAGATCAGGAAAGGTTTTGGGGCTTTTGGAGAATGGTACTGATGTACCTGGAATCTTGAGTAGCTTCTGAGATGGAGATATATTCAGTTTTTTAGACCTGTAAGGTCAGTTTTCTTCCTTCTGGCCTGAAAAAAGTTTTTTTACATAAGCTCAGGAGAGTGGATTTTTGTTTGCTTTGGGGATTTTTTGAAAGCTGACTCAGTCATCTTTATGACCCAAGCAGGCTCCATGGCTCTAGAGTCCAGACTTGTGCTGTGAGACCCTATAGATGTATATTCAGGTTGCTGGCAAAGCCTTGTGACCTTTCTGCATCATTTCACAGCTTGAGACGGTAGCAGCGGGTAGGAAAGTGTGCTCCTTGTCCCAAGGATGAGTTTAACCTGCAGCGTGGCAATTTTAACAGTGTAGCTGTCGTGGTTCCAGCCCAGCCGGTAACAAAGGACCACGCGGCCGCTCTCTCACTCCTCCCGCCCCCGCCGGTGGGACAGGGGGGAGACGGAGGAGAGAAAAGAAAAAAAAACCTGGAACCTCGAGGGTTGAGATAAAGGCAGTTTACTGGAACAACACAAAGAAATTACAACAACAACGACGGTACTAATGAACGAGTATACAAAAAGAGTGATGCACAGTGCAACTGCTCACCACCCGGGACCCGACGCTCTGCCACTTCCCCCACCGAAAGTTGAGCCCACCCCCCGGCCCCCATATATATACTGAGCATGATGTCCCATGGTATGGAATAGCTCCTTGGCTAGTTCAGGTCAGCTGCCCCAGCTATGCCCCCCACCTCCCAGGTTCCTGTAAAAATGAACTCTATCCCAGCTGAACCCAGGACAGTAGCTCTGTTCATGGCTGGCCTTACAACAGAAGTGCCTAATCGATGTCTCTGCTTCTCATTATTGGTTGAAGTGATTAACTAACTGAGCAGGATCTGCTCACTGCTAGCACAGTTTCTAATCGGGAGGAATGATAAATTCAATTTCCTCACAAACTAAAACAAGTTTGGCTCTATCCCTAGTACAAGGGATCAAAAAGTTGCATTTACTTTGCAGGCAATTAACGATTCTTGCCTAATTTAGAAACCTCCTGTTGTTCTCAGATAAGTCTGGACTCCCAACTCGCTGTCTTTTGGCAGTGCAGATTTTTCTTCAAACCTCAAATCTGAACTGCCTGATTCTGTGCCAGCAGATCGGGCTGCAACTCGGTCTCTTTGAAGAGTGGGGTGTGTGTTTGTAGGGCTGGGTGGATGGGTGCTAGAAGAGACTGTAAAATCCAGAATGTGCCATAGGGATGAGCACACCAGACACTTCCGACTGTGCTGTGAAGGCTGTCTAGCCCTGGGTGATGGTGACACCATGGAAGTGAGACAATTTTGCATGTACAGATGTCTGGGAAGTGCTCTGTGCTCTTCTGGCACCATGCTTGGGAAAGACTGGTGTTCACATGGGAGAGCGGGTAGAAGTCTTGCCTACTTTTGGGAAAACAGTACCCAGTCTGTCACTGGCTCAGCTGTGCTGGGGGCAGTGCTGGAGGCTGTATGGCACACCACACCTCTGGAGTATTGAAAACTCAGTGTTTCTTCCAGGTCAGTCCGGTTTTCCCAGCAGTGCTGCCAGAGTTCCTGCCCCCCCCCCCAACCCTCACTGCCAATTCCCAGAGCTTTTCCTACAAAACACAGCTTAATAGGTAGGGTGGGAGTAAGTGACTGCTGAATCACTGCCCACCGAGGTACCTGCCTGCCAGTGCCCTGTTACCTGTATTTCTCCTGCCTCCATCTCCTCCAGGCATGCTTGGAATAACTCTGTTTTCCTTCAATCCCTGTCCAAGACCTCCTAGCTCAAGGGCTAATTTCTGCTTGATTCCTCCTCCCCTCCCCAAGCTAAACCAGCCTCCTCCGTGACACCCCAGGTCCTCTCCCAGGTGCCCTGGCTTCCTTGTTATAGTCTCTTGGGCTGCATTGAGCTGTGCTGCTCCTTCTTGTGCCCTTTTACTGGAGGGACTAGAATAAAGGTGCTTGGAAACCTGAAGGACGATATTTTTTTTTTGTCTGTTGGTTTTGAATTCTCCCTAGTTGTACTGAATTTGGTGAGAGCTGCTTTGGCTGCCCTGCCCAGTAATGGGTGTAGGTCGATCATTGAAGGTTGGGTCTGTTGTCAATGGAGAGATGTGATTTATATTGACTTCCCCCTCAGACAGATGGACAAGTCTCTTTTAAAGGAAAACATTGCCTTTTTGTCAAAGAAAATTTAGTGTATGTAATATAAAACTCCAAGGACGTTTCAGGCCAGTTCTTAGCTCCGATCACAAATTGATGTTCCTTTGATGTTGCCATGACTGCGACAGAGTGACTCATCCCGTTATGGTTAGCAATTTGCTTGTCTTACAAAGTCACTGGGGAAATAATTTTTCCATATCTATACATACCAAGGCTGTAAAGTTTGCTCTAGCAAACAAGGCAAATAATATTTCCTGGTAATAGGAGCAGCCAACTGGAAAATGAGACCAATAGGTTCTGTTCTTAGTTCTGTCATTAACCATGGACGTTTTCTTTACCTTAGCTGGAGCTCTCCTTAGCTGTCTATAAAGCAGAAGAAGTTATAAATACAGGAGATTGTTTTAGTAAGTAATTAAAATTCTGACGTTTGAAGTGGTTCAGAAGTGTAAAATGTTCATAACGCCTTCCAAAACTGCTTAAGGGAAGTCCTAGTGTGCAGATACAGGTGGTTAGGTGAATGCATGTGAGCTGGGTATAGCGAACGCTCTCGAGAGGCAGGTTATTTCCCTTAGAAAGGGCAATCAGTCTCATAATTTTTATTAAGAATTTATTCTTTCTCTCCCTGCTCCCCATAGTTGGGGCAGATTTCTGTAGCTGCACCCAGCGCCATTTATTGAATCCCAGAACCACAGATCTTGGTGGTGTTAAAGTGGTAACGAGTTTGCTGGGTGGCTGGGTGATCGTCAGCTCTTGTTATATTTTGGACAAATGGAAGCATTTAGATCCTGTCTGAGATTCCAGGATGAGGAAGGAGGCTGAGAGCTTACCTGCTGTCAGGAGGTGCCGTCGTTCCACCATCGCTCATTAGTGGCAGGGTCATGCTGCATCGGTGCTTATAGCGAAATGGGTATGGACAATGTGTGTCTGCTCTTGGTGCAAATACGAGAAACTTCAAAGAAGTTGATCTTGGATCACTGAGGAGATGTTGATGTGGTGTTTTTAGGAACTTGCAGTTATGGCTATGGGACAGAAATTACTGAAATAACTTTGTTTAGGTCTTACTCCTTGCTCTACTGTAAGTCACACTGTGTTGGAAGCTACCTGTTTGCTCTTCTCCCTTCCTCCTACAGATGCTTAAAAAATATTGGTGCTTATTAAAGCTATGGAGTTTCATAGTCTAGGGCAATTTATTGGGTTTTTGTTGTTTGTTTGTTTGTTTTAAAAGCAGGATATACAAGTGATTCTGATGGTCATGCTGACCTGTCTTGATGCTTACATGGTGTTTTATTTGAAAAAATGCATCCTGAAGTGCCTGTTATTATGGGAATAGTGTGTCTGTCTTTGTGCAAAGTCCAAGGTAGCCATTTGCTGCTGCTTGTTTAGCTTGTTAAGAGTTTGGAGAACTTCTGTTGTGGTGGGTTTTGACTTTTTTATGTCCTCCTGAAGGTTAGAGTTATTTTGACCTTGAATTATTTGTCTGGGAGAGAGTATCTAATGATTGCTCTATTAACTCTTAATGCATTTAAATATCTCTTTTCCTTATTTGGTAAAACATTTGCACATAGCTTTTGCAGAATAAATGATGCATTTTCCAAGTCTGTCACTCCTTGGTATTGCAATTATTAGTCTTCTGCTACACCACTTGTTGGGAATTATTGATTGTTAATGTTGGAGATAAGCTTGTCAGTTTTCAGATATGCTTGGCTATTTGAATATTGAGTTTTATTGATGTAAGTCCTGTTGGGAAAAAAAGCTTGGAAAAAAAATCTGTCCCTTCAAAGGTACCACACAAACATGATTTGAGGGGGAAAGCAATTTCTTGGTTTGTTCTGTTTCTGCAGGTGTTTAAAGTGTGCATTTATCCCTTTTATTCAAGGTGTCTTAAATTGGTTACTGTAAACTAATTCACAGGGGGTCAGATGGAAGTAAGATTGTGTGTGGGATCTGTTTGAGTACAGACTTGAACCTTTTTGAGCCTTTAGTACCTATAGAAGGTGGAGGTGTGCAACAGCCACAGAATAGTTAGAGTAACTTAGAGGTGCAAGCACACTGCAGAGAGAAATTAGGAGAACTGAAAATGCAATTTGACATGTTTCCCAAAATAACTGGTTTTGTTCTTTTGTTCCCAAAGCAAATTAAATACTGCCTTTTTTGGTTTTGTTTTGGTTTCTTGTTTTTCCAGATTAGAGTAAAATAAAGTGAAAGAAATCAAGACAAATGATTGGTCACCATACGTTACAGCCAGGAAAGAAGCTATGGTTATAAAACCTTGTCTTTGTATCGTTCAACCTGAGATAACATCTTACAAAAGTTTGCAAGTATCCATTTAGAGGCACTGTTTCTAGTACATTCTGCCTGAATGTTTGTTTCTTTTCTTTTTCTTTCTCTCCCATTGCTAGGTTGTGACTAGACTTATTCACTTGCTGGGTGAGAAGATTCTTGGCAGTCTTCAGCAGGGAGGTAAGACTCATTCCTGGACTACTCCCATTGATGCTGGTGCTTCCTTGGAGCTAGATTTACATCGTTAAATCTGGAAACAGAAAGCACATACTTGAAGAGAGAATTTGTCGCTAAATATTTTAGCTGTTGTCACAATTGAATGGTGATTTTATTATATATATGTGTACAAATTTTTTTTTTGGCAGAGCATGGTTAATTAAGTGTGGGAATGGCATGATTTGCAATTGAGATGATAGAAAATTACTGCTGCATATGTGCAGTGAAATTTCCTTGAAATTTCTTGGAAGAGAGGAGCTCAAAGGGAGCATTGGAAATAGCAGCTGTAATAGACTTGAATCAGATAGTCATGCTGAGTGGCATCTGCATGTAGACTGATTTAATATGTCTGTATTTGCATTATCTTAATGAATTGTCTGAGAGCAAATGGTCAGCTATGGATTGGTTCTTAAGCTTTGTGGATGTGGCACAGGCAAAACAAAGCATATTTACTGACTGAAGTGAGGAAATTTTCCAAATTTTCTTGAGCAGCTTTTAAAAGAAAGCAGATGCACATTAACTACTGAGGGTGTTGTGGGATTCTTTGCTGTTGTGGGTGGTTTGGGCTTTGTTTGGTTGGGTTTTTTTAATTACTTTTATTGCTGTTTTTGCAACATTCCAAGGAGACTGAGAATGAGGTAGCCAACTCTCATGTTTTGGAACAGTCCTGGGGAGTGAATCTCAAAGTCCACTCTTTCCTTACATGCTCATCTTTCTGTACACAATCAGTTGTGTACAAATCTCTAATGATAATTGTACTTAAACTTTTGTGCATGCTGAAATGCCTTTGTGGCCTACGGCAGAGTCCACACTGCTTGGGAAATAGGGCAATATGCGATCTGGATCAAAGGGGAGGAAAATTAGTGACAGTGATAGGAGTTCAATCAGAGAATCACCATTGAAGTTCTGAGGAGGGAAGGACTGGTGGAGATGGAGTTGAGCGGTGATGTGTAACTTGTTTGAACCTACAAATAGCTACTTGAAGATTGCCAAAAAGAGTGGAAAATCTGTTTAATGTTCTGTGCAGAGCTATTTTAGAAGACTTAAAATGAATAACTCAGTTGCTGAATATATTTGAAAAAAGTTTATCTGGTATTTCTTTGTGTCCTGCAGTGTACTGTTGATCTTGCATATAGACTTTGAATGAGTTTTCATATGGTATATCAAGTACTTCTGTATGTCCATCTCAAGAATTCATCTTAATGGTGCATCTTAGGCCTTTGCTGGGTGAAATGAGATAAGCAGGATGTTAAATCCTAACTTAGATGACAGTAAGTTTATCGTGTACTTAGAGCTGAGTTGATAGGCATTAGCAGCAAAGTAAGGTTGTCTGAGAAGGCTTAGTTAAAGAGAAAAGAATTAGTATCAAAATAAAAAGAACAGTTTGGAGAACACCCTTATCATTGATCTTTTCCTGTTCTAAGCTATCTAGGAAGATCTTAATCTTTGTCACATGCATCAGGTACTTCTGTCTAAAAATGCTTTCCTCTGCCTGTACTCTTTGTTCTTACTCAGCTTACCATGTTATATTGGAGATACTTCCACAGTTACTTTGTGGCTACTATAGAGGTTCCATATTTTATATTAATACTCCTAAGCACATATCTCTAAAGCTCCACATTTTCCCATCTTGCAGAGAAGTGAAAATAGGTGGAGATACACATTCCCTATAGGAACTTTTTTTTGTTGAAAACAGGTATCTATTTCCATGATCGGGAATACCATAAAAAGTGAATGTTAATTTTTGGAATATTTTGATACTGACAACAGGTTTTGGGGTTTTGTTACTTCAGCTCATTCCTCTTGTAGGCTAAATCAATGCCTGTTCCAAAGTTGTGGCTGTTCCAAGTGATTCAAAATGCCTTTTTTTTTCCTTTCTCTTAACAGGTTAGGTAAATGCACATTGTATTTAACTTGTTTCTGGCATCCAGATATTTTTAACATTGCCTGACTTTTACCCACGCATGCTGTGTCAGCAGCCAAAGATGGTGGAAATTGAATCACAGAATCATAGAATCGTTTAGGTTGGAAGAGACCTTTAAGATCATCAAGTCCAACTGTTAACCCAGCACTGCCAAGTCCACCACTAAACCATGGCCCTAAGCAGCACATCTACATGTCTTTTAAATACCTCCAGGGATGGTGACTCAACCACTTCCCTGGGCAGCCTGTTCCAATGCTTGGCAGCCCTTTCAGTGAAGGAATTTTTCCTCATATCCAATCTAAACCTCCCCTGGCGCAACTTGAGGACATTTCCTCTTGTCCTATCGCTTGTTACTTGGGAGAAGAGACTGAGCCCCACCTCGCTACAACCTCCTTTCAGGCAGTTGTAGAGAGCAATAAGGTCTCCCCTCAGCCTCCTTTTCTCCAGGCTAAACAAGCCCAGTTGCCTCAGCTGCTCCTCATAAGACTTGTTCTCTAGACCCTTCACCAGCTTCGCTTGCCCTTCTTTGGACACGCTCCAGCACCTCAATGCCTTTGTTTTAGTCTTTCAGTATTTGAGGTGCAGCCTCACCAGTGCTGAGTACAGGGGGATGATCACTGCCCTAGTCCTGCTGGCCAAACTATTTGTGATATAAGCCAGGATGCTATTGGCCTTCTTGGCCACCTGGGCACACTGCTGGCTCATCTTCAGCTGGCTGTTGACCAACACTCCAGGTCCTTTCCTGCCAGGCAGCTTTGCAGCCACTCTTCCCCAAGCCTGTAGCGTTGCACGGGTCTCTTGTGACCCACCCATTGATCTTCATCCTCTTACGAATGATATATGTGGGAAGTCTTTCCTTTCATGTGATACAGAGGATGTTACATTTATCTTAGGTTAAGCAATTCAGTGACACTTCCCTTGCTGCCTGACAGTTGAAAACAATAAAATGACACCTAGCTTTCTGGGTTGGCTGATGGCAAGTTTTTTCTTTTCAAACAGGTCATCCTCTTGGATTACACAGCTCGAGTAGCAAGTGGGATGCCGGAAATCCTGCCAGCAATCTCTCCACAGTAGCAATTATGCCAGTGTCTGAAGAGGTGCCACTTACGGCTTTTACTCTGGAGCTCAAGCATGCTCTCAGTGCTGTGGGTAAGAAGTGTTTACATGTTACTGCATTACAGGAAATAAATGCTTCTTATCTATTTAGAGAGGTATGGCCAGGTACCTGGCATTAGTCAAAGGTGGATTCATGCTCTGTTGGGGGGGTAGCAGGACAGCAGTGCTCAGGATCAGCCTTTTTTATGACCTCTTGCTTCTCTGTCCTCATCCCTAATGTGCATTTAATTTTAGTGGAAAACTTTGTGGCCTTAGTGACTCAGAAATATTAGCCAATCTGTCTGGCCTCTCGCCTTGGCTGCCATCAGCGCTCCTCAGGCTGCAGGCACGCCAGTGGACAAACCTCACCACCAGTGGACAAACCCCACCACCAGTGCACTGTTCCCACAGTGCCTGTCTGAGAATGTGTGTCTTTTGTGTGAGAGTCTTTCAGGCTTCCTCAGTTGTACAGCTTCATCCAGCAAAGAATTTATTATGCAGTTTTCTTTTGTTGAGGTAGTGCAGTGAGTGGTAAGCACAAGACTTGATGGAAGAGGCTTGTGGAGCAGATCCAGGTTGGCACTGGAAGTCCAAACTTAAGTCTTAAATCATTGTCCTGTTTGTTGCCAGCTTGTCTGTTTCATGCTCACAAACCCATGTATTCAGTTCACAGTTGAGTCATTAATTACTTTATCCACGGGTGAAGTTGTGTGTGCAAGTTCCAGTTGCTCACAAAACCATGTAGTTAATTCACAATTCAGTTCACGCTCGGTACTACAGTTTGACATTTCCTGAACATCCTCTTCTCATCCTCATACACTATCACAGATCTCTTGAGTAAATCTCCTGTAGTCCTTTGATGAACTGCTAGTCTGCTATCTCATGGCTTATTATTTTGAAAAGTACAAGTTACGTGATGCTTGAGGTATAACCACTTACATTTACTAGTTATTTCCTTTTTGACCTTAAGGGTATCTGGAGCTGGCAGTTTTATTCTGCTTAAAAAATCTTCTAGGCGAGCAGGCACAGGAAAAAGCTGTTGACTCTTGTCCTGGTTTCAGCTGGGGTAGAGTTAATTTTCTTCCTAGTAGCTGGTATAGTGTTATGTTTTGGATTTAGTATGAGAAGAATGTTGGTAATACACTGATGTTTTCAGTTGTTGCCAAGTCGTGTTTATACCAAGTCAAGGATTTCTCAGCTTCTCATGCCCAGCCAGCCAGAAGGCTGGAGGGGCACAAGAAGTTGGGAGGGGACACATCCAGGACAGCTGACCCAAACTGGCCAAAGGGATATTCCATACCATGTGATGTCATGCCCAGTATATAAACTGGGGGGAGTTGGTGTGGGGGGGCAATCGCTGCTCAGGAACTAACTGGGCATCGGTCAGTGAGTAATTGTATTGTGCATCACTTTCTTGAGTTATATTTCACCCTTTTTGTTTTATCTTCCTTTTCTCATTACTATGGTGATGATTATTATATTTTTTATTTCAATTATTAAACTGTTCTTATCTCAACCCACAAGTTTTACTTACTTACACCGGGGGTGGGACGGGGGGAGGAGTGAGCGAGCGGCTGTGTGGTGCTAGTTGCTGACTGGGGCTAAACCACAACAATGTTTGAACTCTTCAACCTTTTGAAATATGAATTTGTGTGCAGCTTATGGTGGAGATGTGTTACAGTGGGAAGTAATTTGTGGGCGTTTGAAGATTCCTCTTATTTTGAGATGGCAGAAAAATTTTACATCTATAACGGAGCACAGATCTCAGCCGTAGCTATATTGCTAATGGGTACTTCTTATGGATTGTTGCCAGCTTGTTTTGATGTGTGACAGCACTAGGAGCCTGTAAATAAAACAAACAGAAACTTAAGTATAAGTGGATGGACTATTGACTATAAAAATAACCATTCTAGTTGAAAGCAACTAGAATGCGACAAACAAGGGGTTTTGTTATGATCGCTTGGCCTTTCCTCATTCACCTTTCTTTTTTCTTTTCTTTTCTTTTCCTAAACTGACGTCTGTGTAGTGCTTGGCAGCTATAGATGGCACTATACAACCTTGGCATCTGAAGTTCTTGCCAAAATGGAGCAGACGGCTGCAGTGGGAAGAGGAAAGTGTTGTGTGAAAACACAGCTAGCCATATGGTTCAAAACACAGCTGGTAGACCAAGCTCTCTGGCCTTGATAGCCTCTGTTCGTCAGGTCACCTTATTGCTTATCCAGTCCAACAATGCTCTGAGACAGTGGTTAACCTTCTGCCAAGGCTTTACTGTGCGTGTTTACATACTGTGCAGAGTTGAGGTTTTTTTCATGCAGGCTGTGTGGTGGTTTTTTTATTTTTTATTTTTTTTTATTTAGCAGAAGCAGCATTCTCTTTCTTTCTCTCTCTTTTTTTTTTTTTTGTAGCTTTTGCTTTTTCTCCTTTTGTATTTTCTCCTTTATACTATGGCTATAAATTGTTTGGGTATTCCTTATTGGTGTGTGACAAAGTGCTGTGAGCAATGTGCCAGATGGTGCTTGGCTATAATGAAAGGGGCTGGTTTTTGGAATCATTTTTCTTCTGACTTCTTGCATCAAAAAATGAAATGAGTAGTAAAGTCTGTGTTGTGAAGCAAAATTTCAGTTTATTTTTGAATTGTCTTGGTATTTACCTGGCCATTAGAACTGTGTCCATTTTACATGTGGGGGAATTGAAATGTTATGTGAAAAGATTTTCATTAGGGCTTTGGTAAGCAGCTGGTGTATTGGAGCTTCGTGCTTCTGCCACCCGAGTGCTTACCTGCTTCTAACTTTCAAATTGGCTAATTAGCACTTGGGGTTTGGGTATGAATTGCAGTTAGACCGTAAACATGTTTATGGAAATAAGAGGTGTTATTTAATATGCTTGAGAAGGCTTAATTGAAAGTCTTTCTCTTAAGGAAGTCTCTTTCAGTGCGTATGTTCCTAATTTTTTAAAATAGGGGGTTTTGCTGTGTAGATTTGCTGTTATTAGCATATTTTTGTTGTTTAATCTTTTGTATTTTCTTGAACCAACTTTTTAAAATTGTAAATTGTAATCAACTGTTGCCATTTAACACTTAACATTTGATCCATATTGTTTCATTGCTCTGGGCTTGAAATATGTTCCAGAGCAGTGGAAGGTAGCCTTGGTATGTGGGGTGAAAGCAGTTGTTTTTAGCTTTTTTTTTTTTTTGCAACTTAATATATTATTTTAGAAAATTCTTTACTCTTCTTGTTAATATCAACTTAAATGAATATTGCAGTGATGCCTCAAATCCCCTTGCTGCAGGTTGGAGACAAGAGTATAGAAGAAATTAGGAGGATGCAGGCAGTAATACCGAGATCACTGCAAGGATCCATCATGAGGTATCAGCTACTGCAGTTCTTGGGAGGCACCTGCCCTTGCTGCAGGCTGACCCTCATCCTGGTGAGAGTGGTTGGGATGCAGGCTGGGTTGTAACACAACCTGCAAAATTAGATGAGAGGATGGGTTCTCTTTCCTGCAACCAGCATTAAGAAGGCTATTGGCAGTGCTGTGAGTTGGAGCTGGTTGCAGGTTAATCTATTTAACAGGATTTTTTCTCTTGGTAATTTTTAACTGCTTCTATCTTATTAAAGGAGTATAAAAATAATGACAAATAGAATACCTTAGTCTGACAGTGGAAGCTTCATAACGCCATGAATTAATATATACTGTCCAGAAGAATTAAGTATTCAGAATCGCTACCCCTCCCCCCAACACCCCCCCCA